TGTATACGACTGGTAATTTAAACTAGGATACTCCAGAACGTTAGCAGGATTTGTAACCGTCCTCGCAAGGCAATGTTTTGCATCGCCTGCTAAGGGCAACTTATTCGTCTAGAATAAAAAAAACAGTTAAAATAGTATTTAAGGGAAGCATTGAGATTAATAGTTAAGGATACATATGCTTATCAGTATGCGTCAGATAATTTTCTTACTGATGACAGCCTTTCAGTCTCGAGATTTTACTTTCAATCGCTAAAGCGTCTACCAGGGATACTGGGAGGGCAGCCTCTACTAGAGAACAGATTGTACTCATGCAGAGTAGAAATTGGCTGCTGGATTACCATGACAATACTTCTCGAAGTGCAGTCATCCTTCATTTTTCGCAAGAACTCGGCACGATGACCCTCCATCTTTCGCCTGACATCTTTAAAAGTGGGATCACTAATGTGCTTTGAAGAGAATTCATAGGTGATTGTCTCGGCGTTCTTCATCAGGTCCTTTAGCCAACCGTTGGGGGAGTAGTTTTTCTGCGCACGGCAGAAGACGAAGGGTTTTCCAAGGCGACTGGCATACTTGGCCTCTAGAAGAAAAGAGGTTAAATGTAGGATGCGCTTGAGTTGGGCCGTGAGAGATTACATTAATCATCAGCTAAAATCCGTATACCTCTTCATGGCTGAACAGGAACCTCCTGAAGTGAGGACACATTCGTAAATAATACTGCAAACAATTACTGTACATAGAGGAAAAGGCACCTATACCAAAACTAGGGCAACGGCGAATTGGCCAGATTTTTACTCTATGCCACCTGAACGAAATGCTTGGGCAATAATGAGAATGGAGACTGACCTTCGTCCAACTCGCCATATGCGCTACCCGTTTTCACTATTTTATCCTCTGTCCACTGTCCATAAAAGCATACCCGGATCCCAACCTGAACTCTAATACTGATCTTCTTACTTCTTAACCTAACGATAACCCCAATCCTAAGCCCCTTGGACCTTGTCCTAGGCTCATCTGCAATACTAACCTATGTTTAAGTGTGCCCTACTCACCTTACTTCATAACAAGTTTAGACCTACCAAGAACCTCAGGCTGTCAGTGTACTATAAGGACATGTTAGGTGGGAATTCCTCCAGTATTCACCGTCGCTGGCACGTCCGTTGCTAAATAACATTAAGCGAGTTCCTCGGCCAACAGAAACTAAAACACACTGCTGCGTAAAGTGGCAGATGACAAGTGGTTGTGAACTTCTGACGATGGCGAACAAGCCAATATTAAAATGG